GCGATTCCTGAATCATGTGTGAGGAAATCCCGCGCGAGAGCGCGATTTGGTAATAAATTGCAAATAACTATCAGGCGGGAGCCGTTGTTGTTGTTGTTGTAGTTCGGGGACCAACAAAGCAGTTGGACCCTAGCGAATTTCCCGTATAAATCAAAGGTGCGAACCCCGGAAAGGGCACTTCAATTGAAAAACACAATGGTCACCAGATGGGGGATGAACAATAATTATTCTTCCGTAGTGAGAATTCAACGACAACAACAACCACGACGACGACGACAACAACATCCCTAACAACAACAAAAAACAATCAAAAAAAAAACAGCAGCAAAAACAACAGCAACAACAACAACAACGTCCATGTTAATACTGCTCGCTAACAACAGAAACAACAACAAAGCATCAACGGTTTCCTGCGACCCTCCCCCCAAGGGGGACAGGAGCCCGGCGTCCTCATTCCCGACACCCGACTCCTGGGCCCCTCCCCACCAGCAGCCAGCACCCACGCCTACAACGAACCAAAGAATCCACTGGAGCCTATATAAGTCCACGAAGCCTTACCTTCGCAAACGCTCGCGCACTGGCGATGCGACGCCGCCGGCTGCTTCTGCTCATAAGACCCTGTTAGCGGTGGATGGAGCTCTAACAGGATCCGAATAGGGAAGGACGGATCTCTAATAGAATCCTCTCCGGGATGGATGGAACTCTAATAGGACCCTATGAGGGACGAATGAAGCTATCATTGGATCCTGTTAGGGAAGACTGTAGCTCGAATTGGATCATACTCGGATTGGATGGATCCATATTTGGACCCCATTACGGACGGATGGAAGGCAAATCGGACTCTATTGGGGATGGATGGAAATTCTACTGGGATCAAAACAGAAATGGGCGGAGCTCTACTTGGATCCGAGTAGAGATGGACGGAATTCGAAAGAGATCCTAACAGGGACGCGAGGATCTCTAATAGGGTCCTCGTAGAAATCGGTGGAGCTCTAATAAGATCCGAATAAAGATGAACGGAACTCAAATAGAGTCCGCGTAGAGATGGATGGAAGTCTAGCAGGACCCTCGCAGAGATGGATGGAGCCCTAATTAGATTCTAATAGAGATGAATGGAGTTCTAACGGAATCCTACTAGAAGTGGATGGCGCTCCAATAGGGTCCTCGTAGAGAAGGTCCTACTAGAGATGGATGGAGCCCGAATCGAATTCGAATAGAGATGGATAAAGCTGCAATCGGATCCTAGCATGGTAGAGACGGACAGAGCTCTACTAAGACCCTAGCAAGGATGGACGGAGCTCTACTAGGACCCTGGCAAAGACGGATGGAAGTTCAGTTGGATTCACTTAGAGGCGAATGGAGCTCCATTACGACCCTTGGACCCGGGCCCATGCCAGCCAAGGGATTGGAGATGGCCCCGGGCGCCGTGGCCGCGGAGCGCGCCGAGCCCGCTGAAGTGCGCGGCTAGAACTGCCGAGCGAGCACGCAAGGGCGGCGCGCGCGTCGTCCGACAGGGCGACGCGGGTCGCACCAAGCCGTTCCTGCTCCTCTCCACGTGCCAGGTGCGCACCAGGGATCAGTTGCCGCGGGTCGTCAGGTTCGACCCGGCGACTGTCCTTCTCGATCCACGCAACGACTGGGCGCTAAAGTGCCGCGCGGGAAGAGACGCCGAGGGCGTCGACGATGGCCCGAAAGCTGTAGCGGCCATGCCTGGCCGCGGCATTGGCGCCCACTCGGTGGGGGAGACATAAGGCGAGCGCGACAGGCCACTGCTGATTCCGGATTGGGGACCTTGGCGGAGCTCGCGTCGCCGGCCAGAAGCGGGGCGCAGCCGTCTGGCAGTCGGCTCGGGAGATCCTGGAGCACTGCCCCGGCCGCTCGCAGGGCCGCCAGAGGCGCGGGAGGGCGTCGTCGGGGCGGTCCGCGGCGGGGGAAGGCGCGCGACAATCAGTTTTCCTATAGCAGGTCGGCTCGCATAGCGATCCTAGTCTGCCTGGCGAACTTCTGCTACACGCTGCAATGCCAGTCGCGCCGCGGCGAGACTCGGCGGTCGCGCGCCCCGCCCACGGCGGGGACATGGTCAAGAGCGATCTCGAGGCTCGCGCAGTCCTGGCAAGGGCGGGAGGGGCCGTCGACTGGTTCCCGGGCTGGCGCCGCGGGCGGGCAGGCGGCGGGAGGTCGCGAAGCGGCTCGCCGTGGGAGCAGCAGGGCTGGAACGGGCGCGCGGCGCACAGCCCGCCAGCCCAGCTGCAAGCTGCACGGCGACGTGGACTTCCGGATTCTGCCCAGCCGGGAGAACGCCGCGGGCGAGGGCCTCCGCGGGAAGTAAAACTCTGCTGGGCCATGCTACGACGCCACGCACGCGGCCGCCCCCTCCGTCAGCCACTCATCACAACACAAGCTGCAGCTGCCCCCACCGCCCCCGCCCACCTCGGGCCCCCACCCGAGGTGGGAGGCCCCGCCGAAGACAACGTCGCTCGCTCATCCTTAAGACCACAGAAACGGCGGCAGCGTGCACCCGCGCAGGTAAGGAGGGAAAGTAAGCGGCCGCCGCCCCTGGGGCAGCAGCGTCGACGCGCCCCGCCTGGCAAACTCCGACGATGACGCACTCCCCAGAAAGCAGCATATCCGACCGGCGCCGGGCGCGTCGAGCGGGGCGGCCCGGTCGGCCTGCGGCGGCGCGGCGAGGGGGCACGCGGCGCGCAAAGCGGCGGCAACGTCGCGAAGCCATGAGCGGTGGAGGGGGGGCGGGCGGACGTCGCGCGGCACGCTGGGAGGGCGAGGGGCTCGTGGCCAGAGGCGCAGAGGGAGTTTTGCTTCCAAGGCTCCCAGCTGCAATTTCCGGCCGCCCCTGGCCGTTCACGGAGCCACGGGGCCCCGGGAATAACGACTTGCCCCTGCGGGCCTGCTGGGCGCCCGCCCAGCAAGGCGGGGAGTGGCTGGCGCAAACCTGCGCGCGTTCGGCCAAGCAGGTTGCTCGGGCCACTGCGGGAGGGCGCGCGCGCGCGCTCGCTCCCCATCCCCTTGCATCCCAGCTCGCCCCCCAAACAAAATCGAACCGACGGGAACGCGGGGGGGGGGGGGCGCGGGGGGGAGATCGGCCGCACGCCACAGCACTGGGCAAATGATGATAAAGTGCGCCATGGAATCAGAGCCCACGCAGCGCACGCGACTCACGCTGCAAAAGCTTCTCAAAGAAGAGGGAGACTTGGGCAGCATAAGACGCGCCTGGGAGGATCCGCATTCGGCGCACCGTCAAACTCGCGTCAGTCGGAGCCCGCGTCGCCGCGGCCTTTCTTGAACGCGACCACTATTTTTGGCCGCCCGACGCAAACTGATATGCAAGGCCAGCCCGGGGGCCGGGACCCCGAAGCAACAGCAAAAAGTACACCACGAAAGCACCCCATCTCGGGCACAAGGGTTACGACAGCCTCGCGGAACACCTTCTAACCCCGTCGCCCTCGAGAGCGCCCAAAAGCGGGACCAAGCAGCATTTCTCGGGTTGGAGGTCAAGGCCTGCAAGCTCAGACGCCGCTTGGAACAGCGGGCGAAGGAGAGGAAGCAGAGAAGAGGTCAGGGAAGACAGCTCCAACGTCGTCGGCGCCAACGCCAGCAGCGAGCTCGAGAGGGGGGAGGAGCGGGAACGACTGCGGCCAAGAGCTGTTCCTTCGAGCACGGCGCAGGCCTTGAGGGGCGCCAGGCGCAGACACGCTGCACGCGAGACCGCGTCGATGCGCCTGCAGAAGGGGCCATCTCGAGAGCCCAAAGTGCGCCGCTCAGCGGGCATCCCGGGGGGGCGCCAGCTCGGGGGTCGAGAAGCCCACGTCGCCCAGACCCTTCTATCATGGAACCAACTGCGTCGGCCGAGAGGGCCCCAGAGGGCCACAATCGCTTGTCACTATCCTTCAGGGATATTGAAATGTTTCAGGGCTTCCCGTAACCATGTCTGAGACATGCTAAGGGATGCTGCGCGAATATCAAGCAAGAGAAAACATGGGCGGCGATCCGCGGCGCCATCACCTATGCAACACAGACGAGCTTCGGCTTCCAGATACACGGCGTGCGCGCCAAAATTTCAGCCCCTATGAATCCGGCTGAATGCCCTGGTCATGCTTGATGCCTACAGAACTGAAGTGAAGATTAACGGTCTGCGCGAAGGCCTCACTATCGGTTTTTGCGTTTGACGGAGCGCCCCGAAGGCGCCCGCGCCCGCTGCGCAATCGTCGAGGTCTCGGGGACCCCCGCCCCTGGGGACAAAGACAAACCTAAAATGATTTAGGCCCTCGGCAGGGCCCTGGCCAGAGAACATCCGCAACGACGCGTCGCACGGAATCTCGCTGGCCACGGGAACAGCCCGCCAGACCCCGCACGGGAGCGGACCGGGGCTGGGGGACGGGCGCCCCCCGCATCTCACTGCTCTCGCGAGACCCCGGGGAGAAGGAAGGAGCAAGTCAGGGCGCGGGAAGACGGGGAGGCGGGCATCTAAATATTATTGGATGGCCTGTTCAAAGCGGGAAGCGGCCTCGGAGATCGGGCGCCAGCACTCGGCGAGGGCCGCCGCCGTGTCTCCGGGCCCACGCAGAACATCACCATGCCCAAGCTGGCTGTGTTCGAGAGCCGAGAGGGAACCTCCTCAGCCAGGTTCTACGCCGTCGCTTGTCGCGCGAAGGTCGCCTGCAGCTTCGTGGCTTCTGTGGCCCCCGCCAGCGAATCATCGCCCTGGCGGCCTCTTGATGGCGATGAGCACGCCCAGCTTTGGCCGCCCCCTCGAAACGCATCCGGTTCGCGGCCGAAGCGAAGCTGCCGCGGCCCCCGGGGTCGCCGACGCACACCAGCCCGCAGTCTACAACCCCCAAGTAGCGATTGCCACGGTCGGCGGCGCACTGGGGCCGCCGGGCGGGGCGGCCACCCCGGCGCCGCTTCGCACGGGCAATGGCCCGCAGGGTCACGCCGTTCACCTCCGCCGCACCAGCTCCCTCTGGAGCGCGAAGGCCCCGCTGTAGTTCGCTGCGCGTGACGCGGGCAGCCATGATCCCAAGGACCCTGATCCCCATCCACGCCAAGTTGGCGTCGCCGCTGCCAAGGTTGCCCGCGCCCACGAAGTTCCGCGAGATCTTGCTGTCTCGCTCGTGCCTGGAAATTAAGGAGGGGAAGCCGCCGTGTTCAGCAGCCCCGGGTCGTCGAGGAGCCCGTCGCATCACCACGGTGGCGAAGTTCGAAAGGACCCAGTCTGGAAGGCGCTGGGATTAACGGACCACGCTGACAACGCAGTCACATTCCACGGCGAAGCACGCGCCGGGTGAGATGAAGACGCGGTCAGTGGCCCCCAGCGTCTCGGACGCGCGCGAATAAGCAATTGGCCAGGGGCCCTCGAACTCCAGCATGCCACGCTGGAAGAGATCCCGCCAGAGGAGCGCAGCTCGCGAAGACCGCCCACATCGACTAAGGCGAGCACGCCGCCTTCGAGGGAATAGAAGAGAGTGGTTCGCCGCGTCACAAACATCGAAGTCACCGGCACGAATGGCAAGCCATGTATGTTCGTTAGCTTGAGCCCACTCTACGCCCCAAGTCCATCGTCGTCGGACACCAGTCCTAGCTTCGCGAGGAATATGGCAGTTGCGCACGCGCAGGACCCGCACATCTTTGCCCGAGACGGGGCTCTGAACGCCGAGGGGCTGGACGCGGCCAGGGACATGGACACGATGGGCGCATGGGGGGCGCCGATGGGCAGGTAGGCGATCAAGAGCGCCCGCATCGCGCCATGGGAAAAGAATCGCACCACCACCATCACCACACACATCCCTATTGATAACTGAACTGATAGATGGGCGCGCGGAGCGTGATCGTGTTGCCACGCACTTCTTGGGGGGAACTACTGCTCGGGCCCTGAGGAGGCCTCGAGCTTGGAGAGCTTGGCACGACGACGATGGTGCTTCCAACGTAGCAAGCCACGCGCGCTCCATGTGCCCACTTTCAACTCAAGAAAAGATGCTGCGCTCTTCCACGGTGTCCACCTGCTAGAACAGCGCCCATGCCGATATGCCAACACCCTGGAAGGTTTTTTTGTTTTCGGAAGGTCGCGGAGATGGCGTGGTAGTCGAGCTCGACCTCGAAATGGGCCACTCCCTGGGGCGACCATGCCAAGCGAGAAGACTCATCAGCTAACGCGGGAAGAGCATCGGAGCTGATGGGGCCTCGAAAACGCAGGCACCCCCTATATCATATTCAGATCTGAAAACTGTAAATTAACCAGGATACGTGTGCTGTGAATTTCACGGCAAACTACTTCAGGGGACTCGCCGCGATTGATATATAGCGCATCTTGAACACAAATGACACCCGCAACTTGGAAACCCCGCCACTTGCGACCGGGTAGCGGCACATGCTGAGCAAGACGAACAGCAAGAGCAACACCAGGCGCGCCCCCATTTGGATGCATGTAGAAGTTGCGTCCAAGACTCTGGCCATGGATGGACGACTAATCGTGTCTGATGCCCGTGTCCGAGAGCCATGTGGCGATGCCTTCTTTGGCTGCCGACTCCGCCGTGGGTTGTGCGCAACTGATCCGAAAAATACTGGGGCCTTCTGGACGATCACACTGCGCCAAGCGTGCGAGATCAACCGTGAAGACTGCGGACGTCTAGATCATGTTGATCAAGCCGCCGACCTTGGGGACGGAGCAGCTCGACCAATGTGTTCTGGATAACCGTGTGTGCGGTTTGCCACATGCTTTGCACTTGGGTCGTGGCTTGGTCCATCTGGAGCATGAATGTTTCCGCGCGACGGCTTCAATGCCAGAAGCAGATTGGGAGCCAGGGGTAGACGAAGAGGGGGCGGCAGGCGCAGCATGAGCATGACCAACCCAAGGAGCCCCACCACCATGCAGAGGGTTAGGCCGAGGGGCCCATGTATTCCCTCGTCAAAGAACGTGGACATGAGGTCGATGTCTCGTAGATCATGTGCAGCCTCGGCGCGCGACATTGGAGGTGGAGGTGCTGCACCGCCAGGGACCCTGTGACACCGTCACGAGCAGCAGCAGCAGCAGCAGCACCAGCATGGGCGGGTGCTCGGTCGTCTCGGTGAGCATCAGCACCATGGCGAGGGACACGAATGCCGCTGCTACTGTCAGAGAGCGAGCTCGAGCAACCTCTTCTGCGGTCGCGGTCACGACGACGACGGCGTTAATCATCTCTGCGTCACTGTCGAACACGGCGATCCCGTGCGGACGCACCACTGCCGCTGCGAGATGCATCGACTGTGCCATCACTGGGCATGAACTACAAGTGCGCGAAGATGAGGAAACGCATGAAAGTGTGAGGCTCGGGACGGCAGAACCGGGAAAGATCCCCGTTTACCCACCACCCCAAACGCCGTGTGATTGGTGTGAGGAGAATGTTGTTAGACTTCAAGAAGTCTTGTCAGCCGCGGACTCGCGGTATCCACTTCTTCCCCTGTCGACATCATCGCATTGAGCCAAAACGGCTACGGAGAAGAGGAGGAGGAGGAGGAGCAGGAGGAAGAGGAGCAGAGGACGAGGAGCAGGAGGAGGTGGACCGGGTGGAGGGGAAGAACCAGCAGGTGGGAGGAAGGGACGGGGCAGGAGGACGACGACGAATAGACAAAATCGACAATGCCAGCGACGACGACGACGACGACAACGACGACGGCGAAGACGAAGATAATGATGGCGGCGATGACGACAACGACGACGACGACGACGACGACGACGACGACGACAACGACGACGACGACGACGACGACGACGACGACGACGACGACGACTACGAGCGAAGCCTTTGCGTCCGGCTCGATGCCGCCGCGCTCCACTGCGCCTATGAGGTCCTCCGCCCGCCGGTCGAGCTGCGAGATGCGCCTCGCGCAGGCGCGAGCGCGAACACGACGACGACGACGACGACGACGACGACGACGACGACGACGACGACGACTGCAACGATGGCTGCGGCGACGACGGCAACGGCGACGGCTACGGCAGCGGCGGCTGCAGAGACAGCAACGGCGATGGCGTCGGCGACGGCGACGGCGAACGACGACGACGGCGGCGACGACGGCGACGGCGACGGCGACGGCGACGGTGGCGGTGACGGCAATGAAGGGAAGAGGGAGGGAGGCAGTAGAGTTAGGTCGGGCATGTCCTCCTACAGGCGGATTGTGGACGAACAAAAAACTCAAAACATATTCCATCAAAATTGAAAAATTGTCAAAAACTCGTCCCCCTATTATTCTTTGACTCTTTTTGGATATTCCTCCTGTAGGATGACATGCCCGACTTAGCAGTAGCGGGAGAGAAGGAGAGAGAGAAGGACGAGGCAGAAGAGGAAGCTGGCCACGAGGCTTCGGGCCGGGACGCCCCGCTAGTGCGCACCTCTCGCAGGGTGGTCGGGATCCCGGTCCGGGGAAGGTGGCTCCCTCCGCCGCGGCCACAAGCCTGCGAGCTGATTATCTGGTGGCCGCCGGCGCCAGCTACGATCAGTAACGCCGCGCTGTTCTACCGACTCGCGTGCGCCAATCGTGCACTAAGAACTCCGCGCCGCTCGATTGAGACGTCTGCGCTGTTCTTGCGATTGGGCCGTGGGCTGTTCTTGCGATTGGGCATTGGGCATTGGGCATGGGGGGGCAACCACAACGTCAATCACACCTCCCCGTGGGCAGCCCATCAGCGTCGTGCTGCTGTTGAAGGCACTCCACACCGGGCAGCTTGACAGAAAGGAAGGAGTGGCACGCTGACGGTCTCCCAGCGGCCGCGAGGCAAGGCATGGCAAGGTCCCATGCGAGCACGAGGCCCGGTCCGATACCGGGCGCGGAATGGAACAAAGTACACGAATGACACATGCATGATAATTTCTGTTGATGTATGCATCAAGGCGCCGCTGCGCCGCGTGACGCCTTTGGCCCGGCGTCGCTGTGTAGAGAGAGTGGGGGGACAGGAGCGAGAAGGGGCGGGATGAAGGGGGCGGGCGAGGGAGGGGAGGGGGAATCATGCTGCAAATATGTCGCAAGCCCTCTGTGGCCTGCCTCTGCAACGCTTCGGCTGGACTGGCAGCTTTGCGTCGGCAACGCTGCTCGGGTTCCAGGCCGCGACTAGACTCACTAATGTGTGATGGCTCAGACGAAGAATCCTCTCCTGCAGTCGCACCTTGCTATTGGCGAGTTCCGCGGCCCACTGCCGGACGGGACTGCGAGATTGGCTTGATTCGATGTTGGTCTTCAGACTTCTGCACATGTCCGACCACTCATCCGTGCCGAGCTTGACACATCCCACCATGCCGAGATTGACGTCTCCCAACGGCGACGTGCCCCGGATACTCTTATGGAGCGAAAGAGAACGATAGCCACGACCCAGACTGAACGAGGATCGTCGCCGATTCGCGTGTCGCTGCGGCGGCCCCAGCGCCACGCTGTGCCCTGACGGCGGCTACAGCGTGCCGCTCCGCCTCGCGGGACGGGAAGACCGGAAGAAACTCGGGATGCTGACGCCCGGGCACCGGGAGATGGACAGCACGTCGCGCCGAAGCGTGGTGGGCCAGAGCCGGCGACAGCGACACTGTACAGTGGAGGCCAGTCCACAGGAAACCTCCCACAAGAAACCCAACCCTGAGACCCTGGGACGTCCATCGATTTGTGGTGCGGGAACGTCGCGCTTTCCAGAGCAAGACCATCGAAACCCAAGAAACGCAGGGCACCCTGGAGGCAGGCAGGGTGCTTCTTGGCATGGGCCTCCACTGTAGGCCAAAGTTCCGGACCGTACCTCCCGGACCCATCCCCTGGCAGCCTCTCCATGGCAGCCAAGCGCCACTGCGCCGCCCTCCCGTTGTCCCTCCTCTCAACCTGCGCGGCGATGCCCTGCGCCATGGCCACGGCGATCGAGGCGCCGGCCTGTCGGCGTCATCGTCGTCGTCAGCACACTCCTCCGCAGTATTACTATTCTTCGTCGTATCATTACTCGCCTTCTTAGTATTATGATTTGACTGTTTTTTGCAAAAACTAGTATTAACAGCAGCACTAATATTGCTATCAGTTGTTAAGAATGCTGTTGTTACTACGATTACTACTACTACTATTACTAGTATTATTATTACTACTACTACTACTACTAACTACTACTACTACTTACTACGACACGAAACTACTACCACTACCCACGTCCTAACTGAACTACCACTACTACCTACGACTCCTACTACTACGACGACGACTACATCGACTACAACTACTTACTATACTAGTGGGGGGTGTGTGATAAGGGGGTGGGGGGGGGGGGGGGGGGGGGGGGTTGTTTGTGTGTGTGGTTAACAAATACGACGTAAGTCGACTACTACTACTACTACTACTACTACTACTACTATTAGTAGTACTACTACTACTACTACTACTACTACTACTACTACTACTACTACTACTACTACTACTACGACTAAGACTACTACTACTACTACTACTACTACTACTACTACTACTACTACTACTACTACTACTACTACTACTACTACTACTACTACTACTACTACTACTACTACTACTACTACTAGTAATAGTAGTAGCCGTACTAGTATAACCAGCAGTAGTAGTAGTAGAAATAGAAGAAGTAGTAGAAGAAGAAGTAGTAGTAGTAATAGTAGTAGTAGTAACAAGTTTCGTGATGTTATAATGAGTATCATGATTAGTATTCGCCGCATTCCCATTTCCAATATTATTGATATAAGCCATCTTATTTCTACGAGTAACAATAATATGAGTATGACTGTTATTATTATGAGTAATAGCATTATCGTTCGTCTTCCCACTAGTCTTCAGAATAGTATTCCTATGATTATTCAAGTTTGCATTATGTGTATTCTTCGTCGTCTTTTAATTAGTAGTAGTACTATCTTTTTTAGTGGTACTTGTATTAGTTGTAGTTGTCTTAGTGTTCCTCGTATTCGTAGTGTTTGTAATGTGGTTCTTTGTTTCTCAGTATCATTAATATTATTAGTATGGTATTATGATTCGTTGTTAAAACATGGTGGTAGTAGTAGTAGTAGTAGTAGTAGTAGTACGAGTAGCAACAGCAGTAGTAGTAGTAGAAGAAGTAGTAGTAATAGAGGTAGTAATAGAAGTAGTAATAGAAGTAGTAGTAGTAGTAGTAGTAGTAGTAGTACAAGTATTACTAGCAGTAGTAGAAGGAGGAGGAGGAGGAGGAGGAGTAGTAGTAGTAGTAGTAGAAGTAGTAGAAGTAGTAGAAGTAGTAGAAGTAGTAGAAGTAGTAGAAGTAGTAGTAGTAGTAGTAGTCGTCGTCGCATGTCTGTCATTCCTCCTCCTCCTCCTCCTCCTCCTCCTCCTCCTCCTCCCTCCCTCCCTCCCTCCAACTCCTCATCCTCATCCTCTTCTTCCTCCTCTTGTTCCTCCTCTTCCTCCTCCTCATCATCATCATATTTCTCCTCCTCCTCCTCATCATCCTCCTCTTCTTCCTTTTGCTCCTCCTCCTCCTCCTCCTCCTCCTCCTCCTCCTCCATCTCATCATCCTCCTACTCATACTCCTCCTTCTCCTTCTCTTCCTCCTCCTCCTCCTCCTCCTCCTGCTCCTCCAGCCCCCGAGGCCCAGGTATATTGGCCACGGGCAAGACTGGAGGACACCCCACCGTGGGCAGGGTGCCCTGCGGCTGACCACGACGCCGGGTGTCCCTGGGCCTGCCAGGACCTCCGCGCCAGAGGCTGCAGCGGCGCGGGCGCCAGTGGGAAGGGGACGAGGAGGGAGGAGGAACAGGACGACGACGACGACGACGACGACGACGACGACGACGACGACGACGACGACGACGACGACGACGACGACGACGACGACGACGACGACGACGACGACGACGACGGCGGCGGCGGCGGCGGCGGCGGCGGCGGCGGCGGCGGCGGCGGCGGCGGCGGCGGCGGCGGCGGCGGCGGCGAGCAGCAGCAGCAGCAGCAGCAGCTCGGACCTGTGCGTGCCCGATGGCCCCCCCGACCGCCCCGGCGAGAGCGGAGATGCCGTCGAACTCGTCACGCGCGGCCAAAGCCACCGGACTGGGGCGCCGGACCGGGTCGCCGCTGGCGCCGCTTGCGTCGTCGGCGTGGGCGCGAGCGTGGTGGTCGCCGCCGTCGTCGCGGTCGTGGACGCAAGACAAGCCAGATCAGAGCGGAGTTTGCGTCGGATCGTGCTGCATCGGCACGGAGCCGACATCGGATCTGATCGACTGCGACAGGATGCACAACAAAGCGACGCTAGCATCGGGACGCATCGGATCGTCTGAACATCAGAACCTAATCGGATCGAGCCTGCCGAAATCGATGTCGAGTCGGATCGATCGAATCGAAATCGACCCTGTGAACGTGGTCGTCTGCATCGCCGTCGTCGTCACCGTCGTCGTCGTCGTCATCGCCGTCGTCAATGTCGTCGACTTCCTCGTCCTCCTCCGCCTCCAGGAAAGTGCCAGGAGGAGGGGACGGAAGAGGGGCAAAGGCAAGCTGGGTTCGGGCATGCACCATATCTGACATCCTACCCCGCCTACCCATCCCGGCCCATTGCGCTGGCCTGTTCACTATCCGTCGATGGGTGTCCAAACGGACCTGGATCCCCAAAATGACTCCATCCTGAGATGCGCAAGCAGAAAGGGAAGCTATGTAAATTGGAGAACAAGGTAGCGGATGAGCAAGAGGATGAGCAGCAGCAGCAGGAGCAGGAGTAGGAGGAGCGGGAGGAGCAGGAGGAGCAGGAAGACCAGGGTAAGGCGGAAGAGTGCAAAGTAGGGAGGCGACGGGGCCAGGGGATTGTGGCAGACCTCACTGTTTTGAGTGTTTTTGTTTTTGAATGTTTTCGTGAATGTCTTGTTCTCTTTATCGTGATATTCTTCTCTTATTAATATTCATATATCCCTCTATATATATATATATATATATATAAATTTATCTCTGTGTTTCTCGCTCACTCTTCGCCAGCCTCTTCACAAAAAATGACCCCGAGCGAGCCCTTCGGAACTCCAGCCCTGTGCCAAAAGGCATGGGGCTGGAATTTCGCCAGGAAAGTTTGTACGAGCTCTCAGCCTTGTCTTTATCATTATCCTTATAGTTCCTCTCTCGTTTTCTCCCTTTGCCTTTCTCTCTCTCTCTCTCTCTCTCTCTCTCATATACATTATATGCATCTCCTTCCTTAAGCATCACAAACGAATCGCTCTGGGAAGCGAAGCAAAAATATTCCCATGACCAAGGGATTGTATTGAAAAGCCGCTTTGGACAGCACTGCTGATGGTTTCTAGTGGAAAGCATCGCAACGGGAGTCCTGTGAGAAGCGCCACAAAGAGATTCGATTGAGAGCCTCACATCAGGAATCCTTTGGAGAGCGCCACAAACGGATTACATTGGAAAATCTCGCACCCGGAATTCTGTGCGAAATGCTACACAGGGACTACTGGATGGCCTCACAACAGGGGTCCATGAGAAAGCGCTACGAACACATTATGTTAGACACAATCATGCTGGGAATAGTTTGAAAAGCGATTCAGAGGGACTCTGCGGGGACACTTCACAGTTAGAACCATGTGGAAAGGAATATCAAAGACTGCACCGGAAGACTTCACAACAAAGATCCTTTGAACAACACAAAACAAGGTTGTATTGGAGCGCCCGCAACAAGAACCCTTCGGAAATCACCCCACTTAGTTTCTATGGCCTCGCAACAGAAATCCGCTCGGAACCATCATAATCAAGGGTTCTGCTGGAAACGTCGAAAACGAAAACGCTAGACAGCAATGCTGAAAGTTTCTAATGGGTCGCATCACACGAGGAAGCCTTTGGACAAAACAAGAGGCTCGATTGGACAGCCTCAGGCTTAGAACACTGTGCGAAATTCTACACAGGAATTCTATTGCATGGCCTCACAGCAGGGATCAGTTGGAAAGCGCTGTCTAGCAAAACGCATATTGTTACAAACAATCAGAATTGGAATCCCTTTGAACAAACAACAATCAGAAGGATACTGTGGGAACAAACAACTGAAACCAGGTTGGCAAATAAACTAACAGAATTTCTCGGGGTCTCGCAATAAAGATCCTTTGAACAGCGCAACAAAATGGATTATATCGGAGCGCCTGGCAACAGGAATCCGTCGGAAAACACCAAACAGGAAGTGCAGTAGAAAGCCTGACAAGAGAAATCCTTTGGAAAGCAGCACGAAGGGCTTCTACTGGAAAACATCACAAGAGGATTCCTCGGGAAAACGCTACGACAGGCCCTTTTCGAAAAGCACCACAGAAGGAATCCGTTGGAAAGCACCACACAAAAATTCTATTGAATAGGGAAGCGCCACTAATGGGTTCCGGCTAGGAAGCCGCACAACAAAAAACCCATCGGAAAGCACCACAGAGGGATTCCATTGGAAAGCCTCACACCAGAAAACCTTTTTGAAAGCACAACTGAAGGCTCCGATTGGGAAGCCGCACAAAAGAAAGGAATCCATCGGAAAGTACAACAGAGGGATTCGAAAAGGAAGCCTCACAAAATGAATCCTTTGGATAGAGACGCAGAAGGATTCTACTGGAAAGCCTCACGACAGGACACCATTGGAAAGCACCACACACACAAATCGATTGGAAAGTCTCGCATCAAAGATCCTTTGGAAAGCACCACAATGGGATTCTCCGGGAAATTCTCACAGCGGAAATCCGTTTGAACGCGCCGCAAAAGGCTTCTATTGAAACACATCACAACAGGAATCCGTGGGAAAGCACAAAAAAGGACGTTCTATTCTGAAGCAGCACAAAAGGAATTCTTTGGAGAACACAACAAAAAGATTCGATTGCAAAACCTCACAAACGGAATCCATTGGAAAGCACCACAGGGGAGATTATAGTGGGAAGCCTCGCAACAGGAATCAATTGGAAAGCACCACAGCGCTTTCGATTGGAAAACGTCACAATGGGAATCCTGTGGGAAGAATCACGAAGGGGTGTCATGGGAAAGCATCACACCAGAAAACTTGTTTGCAAGCACCAATGAAGCCTCCGATTTGAAAAAAAAAAAAAAAAAAAAAAAAAAAAAAAAAAAAAAAAAAAAAAAAAAAAAAAAAAAAAAAAAAAAAAAAAAAAAAAAAAAAAAAAACAAAAACAAAAAAAAAACAAAAAACAAACAAACAACAAAAAAAAAAAACAAAAACAAAAAAAACGTCGGAAAGCATCACTGAGGGATTCAACTGGGAAGCCTCACAACAGGAATATGTTGGATAGCGCCGCAAGGGGATCCGATTGGAAAGCCTCACGACAGGACTCCTTTGGAAAGCAGAACACACAGATTATAGTGGAAAGCCTCGCAACAAGGACCCTTTGGAAAGCACCACGGGAAGTCCTCACAATGGGAATCCTTTGAAACGCGCCGCAAAGGGGTTCTATGGTAAACCATCACAACAGGAATCCGTTGGAAAGCACCACAAGGAGATCCCACAGGGAAGCATTACAAAAGGAATCCGTTGGAAACCACCACAAAGAGAGTCTATTGGAAAGCCTCACAGTCGGAATCCATTGGAAAGCACCACGCAGAGATTCTGTTGGACAGCCTCACAACAGGAACCATTTGGAAAGTACCACGACGGCATTGGATTGGAAACCGTCACGGTGGAATCCTTTGAAACAAAAAAGGGGTTACATTGGAAATCCGCACAAGAGGAATCCTTTGGACAGCGCCACAAAGGAAATTCTAGTGAAACGCCTCTCAACAGGAATACATTGGAAAACACCCCAAAAGGTTCGATTGGAAATCCGCGCAAAGGGATTCCATTGGAAAGCACCACAAAAGATGTGCCTCTCCCCCCCCCCGAGAGAGAAAAAAAAAGAAACAAAAAAAAAAAAAAAAAAAAAAGTTGTTGTATGTGATTTCTTTGTGTTGTGGGGGGGGGGACAGGACGGAGAGGAAAAAAATAGCAGGAGGAGGAGGAGGAAAGGAAGAGGAGAAGGAGGAGAAGGAGGAGGAAGAGGAGAGAGGGTAGGACGAGGGGCTGGAGGAGGAGAAGGAGAAAGAGGGGGCGACCCTCCCTAAAAAAGGGAGGGTGCGACGCCAGTTTTGTTGAGACCGACGAGGAATTGTGCGAGGATGAGGAGGAGAAGGAAGAGGAAGAGTGAGAAGGAGGAAGAGGAGGACGAGGAGGAAGAGGAGGAAGTGAAAGATGCGATTACCTTAGGAAAACCATACGAAAACACCATCCGAAAGGCGAGGTCCGCCACAGCCCCCCGTTCTCGAGGCGACAAGGACGCGAAAGGAATCGGAGCCAGAAATGCGGCCCGCACAGGGGCGAGAGCGCCATACTCAACGACGGGAGCAGAATGCAGATCCTGAAGTGAGGCCGACGCTGCAGTGGGAACAGCATATAGATCACAAACAAATAGTTGGAAACGACAAGAACTATATAAAAGAACAATTCGGATATAATCAAAAACAACGGCCACCAAAAAACGTAAAAAACTGCACGTCGACAAAAAAGTATACGGGATAAATCACGCTACGGTCGCACAGTATCTGGAAAGAGAGAGGGTAATAGCATTCATACTGAAGGGGGAAGAGGGGGAGCAGGAGATGGGAGAGGGGGAGGAGATGGAAGAGGAAGGGGGGAACGGAGGGGGGTGGAGGTGGTGACGTTGGGAGGCAGGGAGGTAAGAATTTAGTGAGGTGGCGGCAGGCGAAGGCGGGGAGGTGCCTGGGGAAGTGGGAGGGTGGAGACCAGAAGGAAGGAGGGAAGGACGAAGAGGATGAGGAGGAAAGCAGGAGGATGGGCAAGGAGGGCGAAGGTAAGGGGAAAGGCAAGGCGGCAAATGGGGAAGAGCGTAAAAATGGAAGGGCATGAGGTGGCAGGGGATGAGGGAACGAGAGGACGAGGCTGTCTTGAGCAGTCTCGTGCTGGACGCCATCTTGCACCAAGTTGGGCGGTTTTGGAAACCGTACTCGGGCATCTGGGGCACACTGGGGCTGTCTCAGGCCAGGGGAGGACGAGACAGACCCTGGAGCTCTCGAACCCTTCCCTGGGACTGGCTGCCTATCCCAAGCCGCTTTCTAATGGCCCCGAACCCCAAGGTGCAGCGGCGGAGATGGGGCCCCGCGGCCATGCCAGGAGAGAAGTCGACATGAAGGAAAAGAGGGCCGGACGCAACCGACTGCAACGCGGCTGAACCGACGAAACATCGGACACCTCGAAGAGTCCCACTCCCGCTGTCGCCGCACCCTGCAGCGCAGGAAGCGCCAAGCGGTCGTCGTCGTCGTCGTCGTCGTCGGCGTCGTCGGCGTCGTCGTCGTCGGCGGCGGCGTCGGCGTCGTCGTCGGCGGCGGCGGCGGCGGTGGCGTCGTCGTCGTCGTCATCGACGTCGTCGACAGCGTCGTCGTCGTCGGCGTCGTCGGCGTCGTCGGCGTCGTCGTCGTCGTCGGCGTCGGCGGCGTCGGCGTCGTCGCCGTCGTCGTCGTCGCCGTCGTCGTCGTCGTCGGCGGCGGCGGCGGCGGCGCCAGCGTCGTCGTCGGCGTCGTCGTCGGCGTCGTCGTCGTCGGCGTCGTCGTCGTCGGCGTCGTCGTCGTCGTCGACGGCAGCGGCGGTGTCGTCGTCGTCGTCGGCAGCGTCGTCGTCGTCGGCGTCGTCGTCGGCGTCGTCGACGTCGTCGTCGTGGACGTCATCGACGTCGTCGTCGACGTCGTCGTTATCGTCGTCGTCGGCGTCGTCGTCGTCGTCGGCGGCGTCGCCGTCGGCGTCGTCGGCGTCATCGGCGACTGCAGCGTCGTCGGCGGCGGCGGCGTCGTCGGCACCGTCGTCGTCGTCGTCGTCGGGGTCGTCGTCGTCGGCGTCGGCGTCGTCGTCGTCGGCGGCGGCGGAGCCGTCGTCGTCGGCTTCGTTGGCGTCGTCGCCGTCGTCTTCGTCGTGGACGTCGTCGACGTCGTCGGCGTCGTCAGCATCGTTGGCGTCGTCGTCGTCGGCGTCGTCGTCGTCGACGTCGTCGACGTCGTCGTCGTCTTCGGCGTCGTCGGCGTCGGCGTCGTCGTCGTCGGCGACGGCGGCGTCGGCGTTGTCGGCGTCGTCATCGTCGTCGGCGGCAGCGGCGTCGTCGTCGGCGGCATCGTCGTCGTCGTCGGCGTCGTCGTCGTGTTCCTCGCGACGGAAAAGCCCCGCGCGCGCGCACCGCGCCTGTCGGCCCCAGGCTCCTCGTCATCCGCGTCCGCCGCCGCCACCATGACGGCTGGCCCCGACGGCCCTCCACCGAGGAAGCCGCCCATGGCCTCCGCGGGGCCACCGCCGTCGCTGCCGCTGCCGCCCTCCTCCTCCTCCTCCTCCTCCTCCTCCTCCTCCTCCTCCTCCTCCTCCTCCTCCTCCTCCTCCTCCTCCTCCTCCTCCTCCTCCTCCTCCTCCTCCTCCTCCTCCTCCTCGACGACGACGACGATGATGAAAAGGTAGAGGTAGAGGACAAGAAGACGAGGGAGGAGGGGGGAGGAGGAAGAGGAAGGAAGGAAGGATGGAAGGAGGAGGATGAGAAGAAGAAAGGAAGGAGGCAAGGAGGTAACGACGACGAGGACGACGAGGACGACGAGGACGACGAAGGCGGCGGCAATACGCTGACGGACACGGCGACGGCGGCGGCCTCCGCGAAGCCGCCAAGGCCCCCAGCGGCGGCCACCGCGGGCTTCTCCGCGCGGCCCGCAACCGCCGCGGGCTTCGCGCCGAAGGCGACCCCGACGGCCTCAGTGTCGTGGCTTTGTCGTCGCCGCCGCCGCCGTCGTCGACGCCGTCGACACGGGCTTCCAAGCCGAACGCGACCCCCACAGGCTCGGGGGTCGCTGTCGTCGTGGCGTCGCCGTCGCCGCCGCTGTCGTTGTCGTCGCCGTCGCCGTCGCCGTCGCCGTCGCCACGGGAGGCCTGGGGAACGGGAAGGGGAAGCAAGGAGGACGGGCAAGAGGGCGACGGCGACGGCAATATCAGTGAGCATCGAATCGGGAACTTGGATTGGATCGAATCGCGCCATATCGGGCGGCATCGCCACGGAGTCGAAATCGCATCGGATCGGCTGCGCCATCATGCACGAGAGCGCCATGCGAGCACAGGGCCGCATCGGGCCGTCGGAGCACCAGAATCGGATCGCACCGGGAATGCAGGGATCGACATCAGATCGGATCGATCGCATCGAGGTGGACCCTGGCAAGAGGGCAACGAGCCGACGGTCGCCAAAGAGCGAGGAGCGGAGTGGACGCATGTGCACTCCCCCACTTTCCGGCAAATGGATGCATTTCCTGGCCACTCCGGCGCTGCGGCCGGGAAGCAGGGGGGCCTCAGGCCCGCGCGTCGTGAGAAGGAAGAACACCGGCGGTCCTGCCATGTTTCGAGCCCAGGGGCCCACACGGCTCAATCTGGCTCCAGAAATGCCGCGGAGAACTAGGGACGGTAGCTCCGGCCGTGATAACTTCTCGCCGCCAGCTGAGGCAGGAGCCCTGCGCGTTTCTCATTTATCTGTATTATGTCTCCTCCTCCTCCTACTGCTCCTCCTCCTCCTCCTCCTCCTCCTCCTCCTCCTCCGCCTCCCCTCACATAGCGATGCCTGAGCGCACATGTCTCCAGCTCCAGCCCGTGCCCCGCAGGGCGGCCGAGCTCTGTTCGCTCTGACCCCGAACCCACGGACCCCCAGAAGTCGGGTGAGAGGTTGACCCCTGGCTATGGCCTGGGGCTCCCGCAGCTGGATCGGTCGGGGCCAACCAACGGGGGGGGGAAGTTGCCACAGAGGCGAACGCAGCTCCCTGTGCCCAGCATCCCGTTGCCGACGATGGACTTGACTAGAGAGAGCTGGCCAGCTCCGCTCCCATTCCAAGGCGCACGGCGTGTCCCAAAACACACCCACACACACAGACATAAACGACGCAAACACACCTACACACACACACACACACACACACACACACACACACACACACACACACGCACGCACGCACGCACGCACACACACACACACACACACACACACACACACACACACGGACACAGGCACCCACTCAACAGACACAGTTATTCGACGTGGAGATCTCCATGCGTGCATCTGATTTCCTGGCACTTCGCACAGTGAGCGCCTGAATGAGAGAGTGCTAGGATGTGGCGCCTGAGCGCTCCCTTGCGGTGCCAAAATGCCATGCATCCCACATCGCGGTGATCATAGAGCTCTCGGAGGAGTCGGAAGTGCAAGAAGAGCGCCTCGCTCGAGATATGCCCACTATCTGGGCACCAAGAGGCAAGTGCAACACCCCTGGGCGGCTCGCCTTGGGGGGCCCGAATGCAATGCCTGTTTCACCGCGATGATCATCGGGATCTGGAAAAGGGAGGAATCGGAGTTGCAAAACAAGCGCCTCGCTCGAGACATTCCCACAAGCTGAGCGCGAACGGGCAACTGCAACATCCCTCTGGTGGCTGGGCCCTTGTGGTGCCCAAATGCTGTACATGCTCTACATATATATATATATATATGTGTATATATATATGTATATATGTATATGTATATATGTATGTATGCTGTTTCTGGCCGTTTCGCTAAGGACATCCTCGAAATTCTGAAATTCGGTGGCACCCATTACACAAATCGTGACGTCAGGGTCCAAAACATACATGGGAATTTCATCATTCTAGCATAAAACTTTCAAAAACACATTGTAACTTCAATGACGTTGACCCCGATTCTCAGAGAATGGCGGTTTCGTCTGAGACATCCTCCCAAAATCGAGCCCCGACGTACCTTCTGGTGCCCCAGACCCCGCCTCGGAGCCTCCTGGGGGCCTCCTGGAAACTCATGGGGCCTCCTGGGGCTTTCTGTACCTTCTGGAACCCCAGACCCCGCCTCGGAGCCTCCTGGGAGTTTCCTGGACCTCCTGACGTACCTTCTGGTACCCCAGACCCCGCCTCGGAGCCTCCTGGGGGCCTCCTGGAACCTCCTGGGGCCTCCTGGGGCTTTCTGTACCTTCTGGTACCCCAGACCCCGCCTCGGAGCCTCCTGGGGGCCTCCTGGAACCTCCTGGGGCCTCCTGCGGCGACGCCCCAGCTGCCCCTTTTCCATCTCCGATCCCGCCGTCATGGTGTCTTCCTGCTTCAAACGCCCTTTCAGTTTTTTGTATGAGCCTGGGCACACACGTGCCACTTGTAGACTGGTGACCACGAGACCCTGAAAGAGGCGGAGTCAGAGGTGCAAAATGAGAGCCGCCGTCGAGACATCCCCCCTGCCTGGGCGCGAACGGGCAGGTGTAACAGCCCCTGGCGGCTCAATCCGCGGTGCCCGCATGCGGTGCTTGCTGCGTCGCGACGGCACGGGAACTGAGACGGGCGGAGTCGGAGGTGCAAAACCCGCGCCTCGCTCGAGGCATCCCCACAATGTGAGCGCCAACGGACGAGTGCAACACCCCCCGGCGACTCGCCCTTGTGGTGCCCAAATGCTAAGCCTGTTGCATCGCGGTGATCACGGGGCCCTGATAAAAGAGGAGGAGTCAAAAAACAGCACCTCGCTCTAGACATCCCCGCTCGCCTCTTTGATGCCCGAAGGCAATGCCTGCTGCATCGCGGTGATCACAGGACTCTCAAAGCAGAGGAGTCGGGGACTCCAAAGAATGCATCGCTCGAGACATCCCGCAATCTGGCCGCAAACGGGCAAGTGTACCCCTCCCTGGCGGCTACCCCTTGGGTCTGAGTGTGAGTGCGTCTCAGTGTGAGTCTGAGTATGATTGCTTGAGTGAGAGTGAGTCGGGCTGTGAGTGAGTCTGAGCGTGAGTAAGTCTGAGTGTGAGGGTTACCTAGTCTAAGTAAGGCTGAGTGTGAGTGAACCTTACTGTGAGTGAGTCTGAGTGTAAGTGCGTGTGAGTATGAGTGAGTATGAGTGCACATGAGTCTGCCTGAGTGAGTCTGAATACACATGGTCTGAAGTTAAATGGATCTGAGCGTGAGTGCTCTGAATATGAATGAATATGTATATGACTATAGGTATAAGTATAACTGGGTCTGAGCGGAGAGAGAAGAATGCGAAAGTGAGACTGAGGGGGGGAGGTCCCAGTATTAGCAAGAACCACATCTTAGGATATAGAATATAGGTAAGCACAGGATCTCTTCCTCTCCCTGCCCCTCTGCCTCCTTCTGATTGGTGTTCGGGCCAGCCCTCGGGTCTCACGCGGCCGCTCGGGACAATCCTGGCGCCCCAGTACTCCCTTGACGAGGCGCAGCTGCTGGAACATACCCTGGATCCTCAAAACATCGAACAACTTCACAAAACCTGGAGACTGTCAGGATTCCTTCCCCTTCATTCTCGTCATGCTCGTCTTCCTCCGTCTCCTCCGCCGCCTCCTCCTCCTCCGCATCCTCCTCCTCCTCCGACTACTACTACTACTACTACTACTACTACCACCACTACCACTACCACTACCACCACGAATACTACTATTATTACTACTACGACGACTACTACTACTACTACTACTACTACTACTACTACTACTACTACT